CCGCACCCCCGGCCCCGCCGATTCCTTCCCGCGACCGGACAGCGCCGCGCACACAGGCTGCCTTGTTTCGTGGCGTCGGGGGTAAAAGTTTGCCATTGTCACAATTTGTTACCGAGTGGCCGTAAATGTTAACGCCGGATAAAGACGCCTGTTTTCCCTTTCACTAAAGATACGCAATGCTTGGGAAAAAGAGGAAGAAAGAAAGAAAAAAAGGGCTACTTTAACACTGCATTTTTCCCTTCCTCTGGGAAGGGTGCATAACTCAGCTCCATCAACAATCGTAAAAACATCTGTTTGATTTCAAAGGCAAGATAGAGCATTTGGGCTTGGGCTTCCCTGTGCAGTGCCAGTGGCAAAGAGAGAAAGGTTTCCCATGGTAACCAAAGTGTTTAGTGTGGCATCTCCACGCTGTGTTAAAATATGTACTCTTAATGCACTGGTTCATAGACCTACTCCAGCAAAGTTGAATAGTTTTTCTCTGGTGGCAAAGTACAAGCTGCCTGACAGCCAGGAAATCTGGTAGTTGTCCTGGCTTTTGAGTTAATTCCACAAAGACTCAGTGCATTAAACACAGGGAGCCCGGTCCTGAAGCCCTGGCACGGTCACAGCTCTCAGAGGAGTCACTGGGAGTCAGGAATCCTATTTACGGGATGAAAAAGCACCCACAGTTCTTGCTGGCTGTGATTGAAGCTCAGCATCCCTGTGAATCAGCCCCTCAGCCCCTCAGAGGATTAAACTGTCTCTACCAGGCAGGTCAAGAGTGGCTGAGACTTCTGGAGGTGTTAAGAGAGTTAACAGCCTAATTGTAACCGAAAGTCAATGGCAGAAAGGCACCTGCTCCCTTGAGCTCCCTCAGTGCTCCAGGACTGTTGGGAAGACACTGTTTTTTCTAACTTGCGTTCAGTAGGGAAAATGATCATGACTAATATAGGTCTATTTGTATTTTCAAAGTGCTGTTTGCAGTGAGGTATTTAGGCAGCTAATTCCCTGGTGACTTCAGGGAGACTCGGTGCAGAAATGAGATTTCACTCCGTCTTTGGGTCTGGCCCGGGTGCTGTTGCGTTATGAAGCGTGCTGCTGGTAGCAGCCCCTCTCTGAGGATCCCTGGGTGGGCGAGGAAGGCAGTGAGGAGCAGTGTGCTGTCAGTCGGTGCCACACAGGCAGTGTGTGAAGGATGGTTCTGTTCTTGAAGGGGTAAGCAATAAGGGACATGGTTCAGAGGAGCAAGCTAGAAATCGCCGAGCCTCTCCAGTCCTAGAGATGTCATGTTTACTGTTGTGGTGGGATCAGGCTGTGAGAAAATTTGCTTTCAGGGAGGCAGAAAGGCTGGTGGTTATAGAGGGTGGTTGGGGAAAACCAGGCTCTGGACCCGACTGACGCTGCTGCAGCGTCACTGCCCTTGAACCAGTCCTGTAACCCAAGGGGCCTCAGTGTCCCGATTCGCTGCATACTCCTGTATTTGCTACTACTATTCAGAAACCGAACTCACATGTAGTGTAAGATTACATTTGTAAAGCTCCTTTGAGATCCTTTGATGTCAAGTACAGCAGGATACAAATGAAGCACACCATTAATATTCGTTCATGCATAATGTTTCTACGCTTCCCATATATTTGAAGCGTATTCCTCTCAAACCGCTGACCAAGCCTGCTGGGAAGTCTTCCTACCAGTCAGATGGAGAGCCTTTCATTTTTTTGCCTTTTACTTAATCATTAGAATTGCCAACAAGTTAACAAGCTGTTTTCGTTTTCAAGTCCCAGAGTGGCAGTGTCAAGAGAAGAGTTGTAATATTGTGTTTCTTTGTGCTGCAAAAACCCAACATCAATTTCCACCTTCAAGACAATGAAATACTCTAATACATTTTGTGTCCCAGCCCTGGGAAAGCAGCAGGAAAACGTATTAAAGCAGCAGCCAGTTCGGCAGAGCAGATCAGCATCTAGCTGCCTTCCCATTGTGAGCTCCACTTCTCCACCCGTTGGTGGGTTTCCAGGTTTCCTTTCGCCTCTTATCAGTGATACGTGCTCTGGCATTATCAAAATTGTGGTTCATTAGTTCTTCCCGTGGACTAGGTGGTTGGGTTTTAAGCTCCTTCTGGAAGGAAAAATAAAAACCTAATGAAGGTCTGATTCATTCCGAGTGCACGTTGGGCTGAAGGAGTCGGTTGTTATAAATACGGAGCACGGGCTGTTAGGCGTAATGCGGAGTGAAAGGAAAATCATTGCCCCCTTGTGTGCTCTTCTGTCTAATTGAATGCTCCTCTCCTGCAGCACTGGGCTGTGACTCAGCCAGGAGCTGCAGCCCTCGCCCGCCGCGGATGGCTCTCGGCAGCGGCCCTTGCTGTCCCCGTGGCAGCGCTGGCCAGTGAGGGGCCAGGCTGGTTGCCCCGCAGCATCTGACGGGGGGTCCCACAGGAGGCTGGCACCGAACAGAGGGGCTTCGTCCCCGTGCAGGGTTGTGGTCAATGTGGTGGCAGCCACTTGTCTGGCTCCTGCTGTCAGCACGTAGGACCAGCCAGGCAGGGGGCTGCCGGGGGCACTGGGGGCAGCACGAGGTAGCCCGGGTGGCCTGTTAGCCTGTGTGTCCCCGCCACTGGGCAAGGGGAGCTGCCAGCCCGGCCTGGGAATGGGCCCGTCCCATTGATGGAAGTGCTGACTTGCAATTAAGCACATGCTTAACGGCTTTGTGAGATGTGGAGGAAACGTACCGAGGAGGATGGTCTGGGTCAGGAGTGGAGGCTGGTTGGTTGTTCTCAATGAATGCTGCTGAAAAGTCACTTACCGAGGAGGTGAATTAGCAGCGGCAGCTTAGGGGAAGGAGGATATATTAGGGAAGGATTTAGTTTGATTGGGTTCTTGTACCGAGAGTGAGTGGGTAAGCGCTAGGATTGCTTTCCCTCAACAGAAATAGCTTTTCATAATGAATTTTGTGTCAAACACTGGGCTGTCTTTGTGACGCGTGCAGTTACAATGAAATACTCGCACGGAGTCACTGCTGCATGTTTCCCACTCGAAGCCTGGCTGGAACTGGGACCTGACCCCGCAGGAGAGACGGGGAGTGCGAGCTCTCTGCAGCAGACTGTCGTTAACGTCATTTGCAGCAACGTGCTGACAGAGCTTATCAAATCCTGAGGACACTGGGTGGGTTTACTTCATATTTGGGCTGTTCTGCCCCAGCAGGATCATGGCCCAGTAGGTTTGAAGGTCACGCCGGCTGCGTGGCTGGAGGCAGCATGGCTGTGGTTTGCCAGAGCCCTTGTGAAAGCGGAGCAGCAGGACCCAGTCCCTGGTGGCCTGAGAGCAGCAGCTGTTTGGGGCATCCCAGCACCTTCCCCCTCGGTGCCACTGAACATAAAGGTAGGGCCGTTCTGCGGCGCCGGCGGCCGTGCTGCATCACTGCCACGTCCCCGTGGGGAGAAGCCCCCTCGACCTCCTTGCCTTGGATCGGGCACCTTTGTGCTGCTCCAACTGCAGCCGCCTTTTGGCCACTGGCCGGTCCCAGCACCGCTCCCCCGGCGGTGGCCGCAGTAGAGGGGTGAGCGAATGTGGATTTCCAGGCATTTCCACAGAGCTCCCTGCTCCGGGTGTCCAAGTGGTGTGTCTGAGTTTAACACAGAATAGCACAGACCATGACAAAGAAGGATGCCTGAGGAGAAGCTGAGCTGGGAACCCCATCCCACGCTCCCAGCTGCGCCGGGCTCCTCGTCGTCTGTGGTTTCTGCTCCCAGCTCCACGCTCTCCCTCTGAAAACTCCCAGAGAGGTAACCAGGGAAAGCAGACTTGTATTCATCAGACTGAGATTTGTTAGCCAGGGATTTGCAGCTCTCCTGGGAAATGTTTTGGGGTCTGCAACTCAAAAAAGGCTGAAAATCCGGTTTGTTTCCTATGCTGAAAAACATAGGCACGGCGGCCTGGGATAATGATGCGTTTCAGCATTAATTCTCAAGTTTCTGGCTTTTGTGGCTTTGTGTCAGATCCTGCATGCTCATTGAGCACAGTGTTTTGTGGTGTAATGATGAGATACCCACCAGTGAGCTTTACTATAACGGGTTGTTAAATAAAATGAACTCCTTGGGTAGACTGTGCAAACAGTATATATGTGTGCCTGGGCATAGAAGTGTGGTTTGAAACCAGTCAGAAAATGTTCCCAAAGCAAAAAAAACCCTTGTATACATGTGGGAATATGACAAAGCATCTACTTACTGTCCAAATACACTGTGGCATCTCC